TGCTTTTTCAGAGGCTATTTTTTTTAAAAGTTGCCAGAGTCTGAATTCAAACTCAAATATCGAGCCTCCCAGATGGAAGGCTAATGCATTAGCTACTGAGTACTTATAATGTTAGAAAATTGTGTTAAACAAAGTTTAAATTTTAGCGAACAACCTAATTCTCTTTAAAAAAAAAAAAAAAAAGGGCTTATTTCCCCTTAGTACATTTCTAAATAAAACAAAATTATTATTACCACTAATTTGATTAGCTATTTATTTTTTTTTATTAATTCATGTGTTGTCACTAGATTGGAGAATGGAATTTGGGAGAAATAATGTGTAGAAGATTCCACCCAGACAGACAGAGTGTGTTGATATAAGCTGGGCAAAACAAAAAAAAAAGGGACTAAATATACCACTGTTAAGAGAAGTAAGAAAGAAAGAACATGTCTGTTTCCAAGTCCATTGTTTTGCACACATTACACATGGCTGCCATGCATGAAATAACTGATTTTACAAATGAAAGAATTTTATTTTTAATTAAACATTTGCATGTACTCACAAGAGTTAGTTCATTTGGTATTTAACAGGCTACTCACATTTCTTACTGATAGTTATTCTTTTTGCAACTGTTAAAAATTTACAGCTCATTCTGATATCAACATTGTCGTCTACTCAATTTTGAAAGAACATACAGTAATATTAATTCTTTTTTTTTTTTTTGGTGACTTAGGTATTATCACTACTTTTCTCCTGTCTTGAAACAAGTAATATAAGAAAATATGAATATTTTCTTACTATTTCTTCCACTTCCAGTTGTGATGATGGAATTATAGGTATTGACTTTTTCATCATTTGAATGTCATTTGTAGTTGAATTGTTTCTTAGGTCAGTTAACAGAATGTGCACTATGTCACTAACTGCTGTATTCTTTCCTATAAGATGATTTATATGTTTCTCTTGTTCTGTAAAGAGGCTTGACAATTCACCTGCCTGTATTAACTGCAAAGTCATATCATAGTATGCATTACAATCAATGTGAAATTTGAAATTATTCCACCTAACACTAATTGCATGTGTTGAAAAATGTGCAAAGATTTTACCCATGTTATTGCAAACTTAACTCTTTCTCTCCTAATCGATGATACAATTGTTGATTTTGAACTCATTAAATTAAATTAATGTTTATTTTTTTAAACTTGACTTTGAATTATATAAAAAGAGCATGCATTTCCCTTTAATTCTATATCAAATAAAACATTTTCTGATAACAAACGACAAAGCTATAGAAGCCTAATCATAACAGGGTAGTGAAATAGTAGGCCTAATGAGCAAAATGAAGAATTCTTCAAAACGTGGAAAAAATAACTATGGAGAGAAAGAGTTAATGTATGTCGGAACTTAAGCTAACTAAAAATTCCATATTGCCATTACTCCTTCAAAATTAGAATCTGAGCACCACCCCTGTGCTGCCAGCATCAAACTCAGAACTATTATATTGTGTGGAATTGTATTGCAATTTTACATGTCTTCTTACCATATTTTTAACTAAAATATTTACTTTCTAAAATAGGTGCAAAGTACTATGAAAAGGTGTTCAATACAAATAATTTAATTGTTTTGTGATAAAATATTTGGACCCACAATAACCAAATGTGTGCAAGTGTCAAGTTAGGTGACTTTTTCTTTTTTTTTTTTAAATAAAGCTGAAAGTTGTAAGCTTTTCTGCTTTGAATAGGGACACAGCAGGTATAAAAATACATTTACCTGCTCCAGAACACTTAAAGGCTGCTTCATTTGAATTCTTTCAAAAAATAACCTCCCCACTTGAACTAAACTTCCTGTGAAATCTTTGCAGACATGTTCCTTTAAAGCTTTCATCTCTCTCTTATTGTGTTTTACATTTGTAAAATAGTCAAAAATATCCGCCATAGCGTTCTTAAACCCATGAAGCTCCTTCAAAGACTGAAAACACAAACGTGTATATTTTTTTAAACTAGAAATCATTGACAGGTACAAATATGAAGTAATTCTAAATAAAGCTACATTCAGGAACATTTAACACAGTTGTTAGAATCTTACAAAAATTTCTTTGAGTTCTTCTTTTGGCAATATGTACTTCTCTGTAATCAGGCTGTGGACTTTCTCATTATATTTTATCACTGGCATTGACACACTATTTATAACATCCTGCGAAAAAAAGAAAATTTACATTTAAAATAATTTCTTCTTCATTCTCAATTTTCATGTCGTAAAGTTCAGATCAGCAATCCTATATATCTGAGATGAACCGCACAGTGGTTTATAGATCAGGCACTTCTCCATATCGTTTTTCTTCTATAGGAGGCTTTTTGGGCCAGTCTTGTTCAGGCCTCTTGATATAGTATGCAGCTTAGAAGGACATGGACAACATTCCCTGGTGATTTTCCACATGGGCAAGTTTCGCTAGTCATTTAAAAAGATGCTTTTGTCTATTTTTCATTTCATAATTTTATACTACTTCTCACAAAATTTTTTTTTTAATACTTAGGTGTCACTCTTAACATTATGATTCATGGCAGCTATATTAGTTAACTATTCTTTGAAAGTACTCAATTATTTCCCTTTAATTAGAGTGCCTAGTACATAATTTCTAAACTTCACTTCTTGGGTTAAAATCTCATCTTAATTTCCTAGTTTTGAAAGTATGTCACAATTTTAAAAGATTCCATCCCAACTGAATTGTTAAAAAAAATGTAACAAAAATTTTTTTTTAGACATGTTCCTACATTCATTTTAAAAATAAAATGTGCCAGAATATTTTCTTCACAGAATCACATTACCAAAGTAGTCGACTATGAGGAAATAACTATTAAGGCAATAGTATAAAATAGCACCTTGGCCTCTTTGTGTCTAGAATATTATCCTCAAAATAATAAATATATATTTGATTGAGCTACAACACTGAATATAAATCTTGGTGAAATGGAAGAATAAACATACAGGTTAAAATGATCTTACTTTGATCCTCAAACCAAGAGAAAATCGAAGATATATATCTAAGCAATCACATTCTTTTGCTTGAGAATGCAGAGAGTCCAAGAGTTCTATAGCTTGTCCAAACTTCTCCTTTTTCTCTTGTGACACAACAAACAAGATAAAAAGCTGCCTTGTGTTCAGGGGAGACAAATCTAATATTGCAAGTTCTGCCATGTCAGTGTTTCCTTGTAATTCTGTAAATACAACACAAATATTAAAGTTAACAGTTTTGTTGACTTTTACCTACCCTTTACCTATCTCTAAGTCTGTTGGCCTGTTGGGGCACCATGCAAGATTTATCAACTATCTTTCTCCATTCCTCTCTGTCTTTTGCCTTAGGTAGAACCTCTTTCAATGGCAGGCCCGTCCATTCTTTTATGTTGTCCTCCCATCGCTTCCTTTGTCTGCCTCTTCTTCTTTTTCCTGGTACTGTTCCCTGAAGGAAGGTCTTTGTGAGCCCCAAAGATCTTGTAATATGGCCATAGATTTTTAGCTTGCATTTTTTTTTTACAATAGTCAGCAGGTCATCATGAGCCCATAGGGCATCTGCTTCTAGGCCAAAGGTAAATAGAGATGTTCCCTTCAGATTACAGCTAAGTGCCTGATCCACTCAACCACAAGGCCCCATTTATTATAAACAACTTACCCTTCATGATGTCATCGTCTAAATGTCTGCATCCATATTCTGCAATCAATTTCACCAGTGTTTGTTTTGATTGAATAACCGGATGCATTTCTTAATCTTTGCTTGGTAAAAACTGATATTTCTTTTGATAACTAATAAATAAAAAATAAAGTCATAAAAAATTTAACAACGCTAAATAAGACTCTAGTGACATCATCATTGATATGACAGTATGGTTTAAGAATTTTAAAAGCCAATTTGAGACATATGTGTTACAGAATGTTAAGGTCTGGAGTTTTGGTCATAGACTAAAATTACAAGATTGGTAAGCTAGATGATGATCATTTATTAAAGAATATTGCCAAGTCCTAAATGATTTAGATGACTTAATCAAATAACATAAGTCAAAACAACAGATGAAAAATTACATTCCAAGCCTCAAAGTAGGACATTTCGGTGCTTTGGGCCAGTAGTAATAGACTTAATCAGACTTCAGACAATAATCATTTAAATTTCATCTATGAATATATTTATTTATATAGTACAGACATTTGGGACTGAAAAAAGAAAGACACTTTAGTCCTTTAGAAGCTTAGTGGTCTTATCTTTAGGTTTAATTACGGTTTAGTGATAATCCATCCCAGTGGCTATACAGCCCATTCTTATCTGTTTTGTTAGGCTACTGTAATTTTTAACTAAAATTTAATTTTGTATCGAAGAAATAACAATATAATAAAGCTAGATGATTAAATTTACAATACGGACATAGACATAGTGATTACTAAATCTAATCTTTACTACCTAGTGGTGAAAAGTAGGTGTAGTTGAGCCTCAGAGAAATAAGTTAGTCAGTAGACTTAGTAGACTCCCAGTACTGTCACTTGTCAGTAAGTACTTTTATTTTAGTGTCTTTAACTAGATCTACTTACTTTAAATTTAAACTTTAAGCAGTGTAACGAAGTGTAAGTCAGTAGTGAGTTGGCCGAAAACGTGAACTTGTGAAGTGACAGCGGCCTTGATCATTCATTCATTTAATTCAATTTTATTTTTCTGTTTAACAAGGACAAGGGGAATGACGACAGTAAGACGGTTTTAGACAATAACAAGATCTAGACTCTAAATAGTATATCTAGAATTTAGAATAGTAGCTAAATGTAGATCTATTTTAAATGTGAAGTTGTGATTAAATTTGTAAACATAAATTGGAATTTAGAGTGATATGCTCTTTGATAAGGCTAAAAACCAATACTGACTTTACTTATTTAAAAAAAATATTTTTAAAAATTATTAAACTTATTCTTTCTATATTTAATCACAGTTTAGTTTAATTTTAATTAGAATCTATATAAACTGTTAATTTTTCAATCTAAATGTATAATATTTACATAATATTTAGTCGAGGTTTAGTCTAGACTAAATATCTAGACAAGACTCGGTCACTAGAAACTAGATCATTATCTATTTGTTGAAATAGACATTATCGTTTGTCTAGTAAATTAGAGATTACAGCTACTGACCTACATCTAGCTCATCAAATAAGTTGACATTCATACTTAATATTTCTACAGTTTTTTATTTGGATTCTAGATCTAGATTGACATAGACTAGATCTAGAAGAATTTAAAGCTTCCCAAAAGTGGGCAAAAGCAGAGGTTTTAATTTTAGCAGTCTATATTTACTTGTTTGGAAATTATTAACTGTAGAAATAGAGACTTAGATAATTATAAAAAATGACTTCAATCGCTGTAATGTTAGGTCAAGTGTTACACAGAGAAGTTCTGAAACCTCGCATCGTCAATGTTAGAGTAATACAACAAGTCTACGATCAACGTTTGCACATGGTATGTTACGGTCTTAGTCTTTGTAACTTGTTTACCATGAATATGAATAAGATTCAAATGGAAACTCAGATAGTTTTTCAAATTAGAGTTATTGACTCATGAGTCATATGTCCTGATATATGATTAGACTCTACTAAGACTCTAGTAACTAGATCTAGTATCAATACAATAGTATCATAGATCTAGTCAGACTCATAGACATTGCTTTTTTTTGTCGTCTCAGTGATGGATTGCCTAACTTTTAACTACTAATAAATTAATATTAAACATTAAAATACAAGAAAAGTAATAATTTTTTCCCCACAATGAACAAAAAATGGTACTAGATCTACATTTTTTACTGGAACTTCGGTACGTGTTTTTTTTTTACAAAAAAAGTTCTGGATCTAGATCTAGGTACTTTGATGAAAATTCCAAATGACCACATTGCAAATTTGCTACTTAGATAGCGCTTGAGAAATGCTTTCCTTTGATTCCAATTTTATTTTTCTAAGTTTATTGTGAGGGAAGTTATTACAATTTTAGTGGTCAAAAATAAGCCTTCTTTAGTCTTTTTTTAAAAAAAAATCTGTTAAAATTTATTACAAAAATAAGACCCAATGATAAAATCTTTGGAAAAAAAAAAGTGAATTAAAATTTAAATAAAGCATTTTACAGAAAATAAAAATGAATGCGATTTTGAGCCCAAACATCATAAATACAACTAATCAGAAAAATCTGTAATGTGTATTATTTTGTTTTGTAATAATTATAGTACATTTAAATAGATATATTTAAATATTTATGCATCAGATGGATAATATTTATAAATTGTAAATGAAAATAACACTCCACAGAAAATATTTGTTAACATTTAATGACTACTCTTTTCATAAAATTTATAAAAAAAAACAATTTAAATTTATCAATTTAAAATGCCTGAATTTAAATGCTTTTTATAAATTATATTATAAATAAAAAAAAAGAATTAATTAAAAATATTTATTTTATTTGATATTTAATTCACGCATTAAAAAAGTCATTAATAAAAATAATAAATACACATTCAGTCTCCATAGTCTAGCATTTAAAAATTATAAAAGTCAATCAAAATGAAAAATTCCTATGTGTGTTTCTAAAAATAGGACAGGATAGACAGAAAATTACCAATTCCAGTAAATCAAGTGTTGTTTGTTACTAAAAATAGATTTTAACAATCAACTTTTAAAATTAATATCTAAAGAGTGCGCCTTGCTACAAATTTCAAGTGTAGCACACAGACATATATATCCATGCTAAATTCAATAGAATTAGTGAGATTGTTATAACTTTAAAGACTTTTATTTTATTTTAAAAAATATTTTTACCCTTCTTTGTCTTTGTTAATTTTAATATCAAATATCTTTTAAGTGTGCCAACAGAGTGTAATAAAATTTGAAATATGATCAATTATTATACCAAACAGCATTGTTGTATCTTTAATAGGAAAAAGAAAGTTAAACGTTAATTTTCTCATAAACTTTTCTTAATGAGAGATGTATATATATATATTTATGGATTTAGTCCCCTTGTTACATTTTGACACGTTTTTTCTCCCTCTTCCCATTCTCGGATCAAGTTGAAATTTTGTATATAATTATTCATAGTCAATAACAATACATAAATCAATCCTAAAATTAACAAATTAGTTTATCATTTGATACTAATTAATTAATTTTGTTTTGTATAGAAAAAAGGGAGATAAACCCCATAATTTTTCAGATATATGGCAGTACTTAAGGGTTCCTTCCATTAGATAAGCTTTGTGTTTAAAAATTATTTTTTTTTCTATTGCTTGTTTTTTTGTGGCTTTATTAGTCAGGTGCTGTATGCATTTAGGACTGTTTTGAGGTTTTTGTTAAATTTTTTAATTGAACACAGAATATTAAATGAATAAAATACATAACATGAAAAAATTTATGAAGATGATGAGTTATGAAGATGACAAAAAAAGAGCTTACTTTGAAAAATCATAACTTTTGACAGAATCTATGACTTTGAAATATTGATGTCAACTTTTAAAATTATTATTATTTTTTATTTGTTTTGATGAATAATGTTGATTCTAATTGTTTTTGACACTAGTAACATATTATCTTTTGCTGTCAGTTTTTTCCAGAGCCTAAAGACTTTAAAGTATTTGAAGACAAAGTCAAGGTCAATCATGGTGATATTGTGAAAATTGAACAGGTATATTATCTTATCTAAATCTTTAAATGTACACGGATATAGTATTTACCCAAATGTGACTATTGTAGATAAAATGCTCATAACCCTTTTGCCTCTTAACATAACACATCCTCAAAATCTGTTGATCCTTTATTTTATTGAAATGAAGGGTTGTATACTTCATGTTATATGTCATTTGTAAAATAGTAAAACCTTTTTCAATTCAGATTTCCACAACAGACTCATAGGTGGCCTTTTAATTGTTAGATTATTATTGCTGATACTTATTTGGTATTTTGATGTCGCTATGTTTAAATGATTCGAATTGTCTGTAATATGGTCCAGAAATCGAAATTCCAAAAATAGTATAATTTGCAGTTCTTAGCATTAAAATAAAATAAAGACCACACAAATTGTCCATTGTCTATTTATAATATTGCTAATTTTAGGTGTCCATCGGTAACTTACCACACTAGATCATTGACTTCTGTCCTATGAATCCTTTGACAATTCATGCACCCAAGGCTCCAATATTTTTATCAGGAAATGCCAGAAATAGCAATCTGGATTGATCTATTTTAGCATTATTTTACCTTGTGTCTGGACTTTAAACTTTCATGTCATTGCGTTGTAGCTCCAAGGAGAAATTCCAACTAAACTTGTAGTCATATTAATTTCTTAATATCAAACTTGAATAAAACTTGACACATCTTCTTTTTAAGCACAGGGTTCGTAGCGCTCCTAAAAAATGAAAAGTCTCCTAAAAATTGCAGAAAGTCTCCTAAAATTTTGTCCACTCTCCTAAAATTTTTACCCAATATTTTTTTTAAAGTATAATTTTGCTTATTTCTTGCTAAAAATGCGTGGGAAAAAAAAACAACAGCGTAACTAGGCATTCTGATCGCATGACCTTACGGGATGGCTGTGTTAAAGAGCTGACCAGTGACGCTTCAACACCGCCTTTCACCAACTTGTGAAGCGCGACCTCGTGATTGAAGATGGCCTTGGCTCAAGCAAGCATTTCACCTGGCAGTACTTTTCTGAAGTCAGCGTAGAAATGTTTGTTTCCATTTATTGTTACCACTAAAGACGCGCTAGATCTATAGTCCAGACTAATTTGTGGTCTACACCCCTCCGGGCCCTCCCTCACCTAAAATCTTCTTGTTGTAAGTGTAAGAGTGACCTCGCGTGGAAAGTCGGTAAATCTTCTAGATCTAGCTAGTATCTAGTAATGGTATCTAGATCTAGTGAAGGTTATTCGCACCTAACCTGAAAACTCAGTGAATTTTAGTCAATTTAATGATCTCGATGCATCTAATGTCTAGATTACTCTAGAAATACGCTAGATTCTAGATTTACGCTAAATCACTTAGAGTCTAGTGAAGATAATTAGCACAAAAAAGTGAAAACCTCTTAAATTTAGTGACTCAGATCTAGACTACGGTATATTCAGTGAAGACGGCCGCGAAAAGTCCGCTAATTTAAGTGACTTATATCTAGACTCTAGATTTACTCGAAATCACTAGAATCTAGTGAAGATAATTCTCACACAGCCGTGAGAAGTATGCAAAATTTAGTGACTTAAGACTTAGAGTTAAAGTCCGCGAATTAGCTTTAGAGTCTAGATCTTCTGTAAATTTAGTGAAGATAATATTCACACAGCAGTGAAAAGTCCGCAAATTTTCGTGACTTTGATTTCGACTCTAGATTTACGCTAAATCACTAGATTATATATATATATATAGTGAAAATATTTCTCTTACAGCCCTGAAAAGTCCGCGAATTTCAGTGACTTAGATCTAGAGTCTAGATCTACTGTAAATTTAGCGAAAATATTTGCATACAGATGTGAAAAGTCCGTAAAAAATATTTCACTCGTAAAAGCCAGGGAAACTATATGGTTGAAAAAGATTCTGCTGGGAAATAAAAACGCGAATTTTAGTGACTTAGATCTAGAGTCTAGATCTATTGTAAATTCAGTGAAGATAATTCTCTCACAGCCGTGAAAAGTCCGCGCATTTTAGTGACTTAGATCAAGAGTCTAGATCTACTGTAGATTTAGCGAAAATAGTTGCATACAGCTGTGAAAAGTCCGTAAAAAATATTTCACTCGTAAAAGCCAGGGAAACTATATGGTTGAAAAAGATTCTGCTAGGAAATAAAAACGCGAATAGGTCTAATTCCACCCCCCCCCCCCCTTTCTCAATCCAAAAGCCATTTTTTAGTAAGCAAATGTCAACTAAACATTCAAATAGGCCAATATTGCCCTATATATTACTGGCTCTGTTTATGAGAAGGATTTAAGTTAGCTAATAAAAGAATAAAACATTACCTGAAATGCACACCATGACTCTAGTATCTAAAAGATACACATAGGAACTAAGAATGTACATTTCCACCTCAGAGAATACACATTATGAAGGCATCTCTAAGAATGTTTCTTATTTAAAAAAGGGAAAAGTAACCATTTGTAATGTTTTTAAATAAATCTTTGAAAAAAAAATGGTTGTTTGAGGTTTTGGGATGACAGTCCAGTTGTTACTTGATTAAAAGATAACTTTCATTACATTTTCTGTGGACACACTACA